TCACTGTTGGAAAATTCGATAAAAACTGCACTGGAGATAAAGTACTTGAATGTGTTAAACATTTAATTACTACCACCAAATATTAATGTGTATAAAATTATTATAGAACACAACATTAAGAACTGGAAAAATTGGTTGTAATACATTGAACTTGGGGTCATTTAGCACTCACTGAATATGAGGAGTTAGAATATATCTGTTTCTGAAATGTAACCATAGGTATTACTGTTGCTTCCGGCTATAACAAGTTATTATTTTCCGCTGAAAAGTTACATCTGTTCACAGCAGAAATTACTTTAAATATGTCGTTTTAACACATTGAACTGTTTTCAGTCATGTATATTGTTATTCATTGAACATAGTTAATAGTCTCACTTGAAGGTTGTCCTGGGTGGTTTTAACTCGTGCCCAGAGCTATGAAGTTCGAGGGATCAATTTCTGACAACACAGTTTGTTTACGAGTTAGGTAATCAACTACTGAAGTCCCAGAGAAGTGATACTTTATCTCGATATATTGTAAGAGGTTGTTACTTTAACAAGTAAAAGAACAGGTATGATGGAGTTAAAGAAACGGAGCATCTATGATTGTGTCAGATGAAGAAGGCTTTCTAGCCGCAACGTTCATTTTGTCGTTCGAGATCGCATGTTATGAGAAGCTGATTAGGTCTACTCCTCATTTAGATTTTTTAGCACTGGGTATTTGACTGCAAAAAAAAAAAAAATAATATATATATATATATATATATATATATATATATATATATATATATATATATATATATATATATATATATATAAATATATATATAAAAGATACTACACAACAGTCATGTGGATGTCATGCTAAAAAATACACCAATAAAAGTAACTGACCATTTCACTTATCTGGGCAGCAATTTTGACTCTCAAGAAGATCCAGTGACGAAATCATGATACACATTGGCAAAGCACCAAAAGTCTTCAAAAGCCTAAACAAAATATGGAGTTCCAAGTTACAGAGCATTAAGACCAAACTATGAATCTTCCATTCTAATGTTATTTTAGTTCTAACATTTGCCAGCAAAAGTTGAAGAATCACCAAAGATATGGAACGAAAGTTAAATGCATTTGAAAATAAATGTCTAAAAAAAATTAATTAACCAAAATAAAAACAGGATAAGTTTAAAAAAATGAGATCAGAGAAATGTCTGCAAAAATACTTGTATCGACTGCAACAAGACAAAGAAGTTGGAGATGAAGTGGACACACTCTGAGATGAAATGAGCAAAGAATTACAAAACAAGCACTGAAATGGGAAAGAAAAGGTCTGAGAAAACATTAAGAAGAACATTTTACGAGAGGCAAAAAAATGCTGGTCTAAACTCCATATCAAAACGGATTTGAGAAATGGAATGCATGCTCCATGTGACGTCTAACGGCACACAGAGGAAACTAGAAAGGCTGATGAAAACAATTGTTGAATTACGCTCGCCTGTAGATCTGAAGGTTCGGCTACTGACAAAGCTGGACAGTTTTCAAAAATAACTTTGGCTCCCTGATCGAATCAGCTTTAAATGTGAACCAAAAATGTCATGGGAAGTAAAGGCGGCCGGCGTGATGTTGACAATATCACCCAAATGAACGCAGGTTGTTCTATAAAATGTAGGTTTAGCCCTACATTCCCGAAGGCGGGGAAAATGGTTCTTTGCTTTGTTATGGATTCATTATCATCTTGTGCTTTTAGTATACACACAGGGTTTCAATGTATTCTCCTGTTTCCTTCAATCCATTGCAACTATTTCAATATGGGGATAGGATCTAGTACTGCAAATTTGGTCTCTCTCATTAACACTATTCTTAGGATTTCGTTTGGTCGTTCTCAATTTGTTGTTCTTTCAGTGTTATTTGGTACTTTCTCCATTTTGGACCTACCAGCATCCAAAGGTTCAGTTGCCCAGCTACAGAAATTAGTGCTTGATGCAACACTACAAGCTGTAGTGTGAATTTGTGCGTGCACATGTCTGTGTATGTGTACGTGTGTTTGTGCACCCGCGACCGCGCCGTAATATTGTGTTGACTTCACTAAAATAGCAGGTGGCCCATTACGTTCAGAAGTGAGTTACTATTCCGGTGTAAGACTGTTAGTGTTGGTACATCTGGCAGCTGCTTTATGCATTTTGATTTTGCATGTGCAAGCTTTTAGACTTTGTTGCTGCGGAAAAAGTTTTTACCAGTTTTCAGATAAGACAGTAAAAGACATATGAGATTGCCACTGGCACAGAAAGTGAGCTGTTATGTTGGGATCTCGACTAATCGACTAACGACTAATTTACTTAACATAATTTTCAGATTCTGTAAAGGGAGTCGATCGGATGTGGACCACATCAATTGGCAATTGGTTTGTAAAATAGGCAAAAGGATGCTCTACTTTTTATATATTTTCTTAGCGCGATTTCTCTTTTACCAACCAGTACGATGTAGATTGTACGTTTATATTAAAATCGTATATCTTTTTTCATCCTAAATTAACTGACTGGCGTTAAAAAATGTACTCAGTTTCATCAACAATTGTCGCCTTGATTAATTAAATACCAGCAAACGGAGCATATTTGAACGACAGGAGTCTCAGCAGCATATGGTGAAGGCGTTACCCTCGCGCATCGAAGATCGTGGGTTTGTTTCAGGGACACATCGTTCAGATTACAAGTGAACGTTTTTTTTTAAATTAGATGGACGCTGGAGCTACGAAGTTCCTGCTTTGTGCAACGATCAGGCAGCCATTATGCACAGAGAGAGAGAGAGAGAGAGAGACAGAGAGAGAGAGTGTGTGTGTGTGTGTGTGAGAGAGAGAGAGAGAGAGAGAGAGGGAGAGAGAAGGAGCCATATAGGATAACACCCGGGGCAATGATGTCGATTCGCACAACTGTAACTTGAAATCAACTTTAGCTCTAAACAACAATGTCTACCAAAAGTCCACTTTAACATGCTTTTTCATCCGGCCTGCGTCATGTTGACCACATCACCCACGGAGTGGTATAGTAAACACAAGTCAAGCTGATTAGCCTGATGCGCCACTGGTATGAAAAGGTTACTTTATTAAATTTAAAGAAAAATTATATTTAATTTTTTTTTTTTTAATATTGTTTTTTTAAATATTTCATTTTAAACTTTAAACAGAATCAGTCTATATCTCTGTTTCTTTATCAGGGTTGCTCTAGGGTTGGAATGTTCTATATTCGTAAGGATTATCATCACAGCACTCCGGACAGATCTATATGAGCTCCGATCTTTTCTATAGTAGCTTCACAGGTATGTACACAGATATGTCACATCGGTGTTATTTAACATAATCCCTATGAAATTGTATGGGATTTTTTACTAGCGTGAAACAGGTGTATGTATTTCAAGCCTGTACCAGAGTTTGTCTTGGTAATATAGCCATTTCTTCGCTATATGAATCGCTCTCTTTCATTGTCGTCAAGCTGTATAATGCGGAATGAATCTTTAAGTGGACCAAATAGATGCAAATCATGGTCATCATCATGTGCCATGCAGGTAAACGTAGTATGGCATGTTTCGCCATCTCACACGATCACTATAATTTCAGATCAGTTCAATGTTATTGTCTGACCCATCCATCTGGCCAGGTCATCCAGGTATTTATCTCTTTGCCTTTCTATTGCTCTCTTTCTATCAATCTTGCCAGTTTTTACTGACTTCCCGAGTCAATTGATTATTGTAAGATGTACCTAAACAAATATTGCCTGTCTCTGAACTGCTGATCGTTTTGGTGACTTCTGCTACCATCAATGATGAACTGCATTTCTAATGTCGGACTGTTTGTGTTAGTACTTAGGATGGCTACTGTATGCTTTTAATGCGAGTGTATGCTAGATTTGCTGAGACAGCAGTTTGTCAGTCTTTCTACAAGGAACTGTGATAAACATTATGTGTGTATTTCGTTGGCACAGGAGCTGAGCAAAGATGGGGTGACCCGTTTGCTATGAAGCTGAAACTAAAATTACCAGATTACCATATATTGCATGTCTACATATGAGTGTGGTAATACATTTACGACTTTCGTCTGTTTCAATAGGGTCTGCTTCGTTGGTTTTCTACCCTTCAATAATATTCTTTGGATACTTTTCAGAAACCATATCTCTCCCATGGGTGAATATTTTTCATCCCGTCTGCTTACTGTCTATGTTTCGCATACATATAGCAACACAGGTTCTACGTAACAAATTTACACTCTTGTTCTCACCGCAAAATACATTTACTTGTTAGTGCAAATATTTCACATCTTGCTAAAGGCCACTTTTGCTATAACGATTCTTGTTCTAATTTCTGAAAGACATCTTGTAACAGTTGTTATCACTGTTCCTAAATAACTATCAATTAACTTGCGAAAGAATTTTCACAATCAAAGGCCCTAGTTTATTTAGCAATGCAATATACATAGAAATACATAGGTCGATAGGTATATCTTTGGGCGCATATATTGCATTCAAAAGCATGATGATCTGGTCTATCCGCATTCTTCTAAAGAATTAATCATTTCATTTTGTGTTGTTGTCTCAACCTTATGTTTTTCCACCTTTCATATGGTTAAGTGAATTCTTCACTTTAATATTCAAAATTAATGGTGTTCATTTTTATATAGAATATCGAATTGTTCCACGCTGTAAATATCTATTAGATACTCTGACGAGGAAGAAAGATTTAAATTAGAGGGTGGCAAATCAGAACTACAAGGTAGCCTGGGTAGTACTCTTCAACTTAATGTGGTGATTGCCTTCCGTGTTGCCAGATTTATGTGAGGGCACTCATTGTCGTGAAGGGCTGCTGGGTTCTCATGTGGCCGAGCTCGTGAAAACCTTGACTAATGCAAACGGGCCACTCGTAATTGCGCTGTTATTGTGCGAGTTAAACAAAACCAAATACAATTAGAATTTTAAAATTGCTGGGTATTGTTTTATTGTTTTTAAGTAGCCCATGGCAAACTGAGAGTTTAAAAATGTTCAGACACCACCTTCGGGTTGAACAGTTTTGTCTACATTTCCGATTTTGCTGTCATCAGATTGTTTGAAACGTAGACTAAACAGTTGCTGAAATGTGGCTCTGAATTTGGAGCTCATTTCTATGTAGATAAAGAAGTTGGCACTCTCCTGTATGCCTTCAAGAAGAAGCATAATTGAGACAATTGCGATGACGAAGTTTCTTTCTGAACCAGCAACTTTCATTTCTTGGTTTGTTAGCGGTAATAAGAAAAATAAGGCTCCGGGAATATAACAGACAATAAAAACTACTGAGATGGCTAGAACCATTTGTGTTACTTTGGTGTCTCTCTTTGATACCACCTGAGTCTTTGATGCAGTCATTTGCTGTCGCCATTTTGCGTTGCGATGCAATGTTGTTACAAGAATTGCAGTACAACTAACAATGAGTATAAAAAACAATAACGGCAGGACGTTATTTATTATATAAATGATGTCATCAATTATTCGCCCTTCAGCAATTTTCACATAACTGAGCACAGTTGTATTTCTTATGGGATCAGTTATCCATACGAACTTTGAAGTGTAAAATATCGGGGTTACAGACGCAATTGTGATGACGTAAAGCACACAAATAACCATAACAGATTTTCCAGGAGTGATAAGCGTCTTAATTTTCAATGGAGCCACAATGCACAAACATCTCTCGAAGGCGATCCAAGCAGTCAAACCTGTAGTGACCCGACTGAAGGCTGTGTGGCCATAGAAGAGAAAGTACATCATCTGGTGTGGGTAGAATGGCAAGTGCAGTTTCGTGACAGCTGGTGCCCAGCATAGATTAAGCAGGACGAGAATAATCAGTGATCCCAGGTCTGAAATTGTCAATCCTAGAAGGCTGATGTTGACCGAGTCTCGAAGCCCTTGTTTGAGAAACACCACAACATTGACCACGTTAACAAGGACACCAATCACAGCGACGCATTGGCCAGGCCCCCAGCAGTTGATCATCAAGAAATACGACAGGGTTTCGGTGTTCATGATAACCCTGCCAGGCACCGCCATGATGGTCATCGCTGAATTGTTATAGGCATAATAACGACTGTTGTATGTTGTCGTTTCCTCAAAGAAGTCGTTAGCGGTAACATTTACAAACATGAACATTATTTTAGTATCGTTAAAAAACACTCTCTGTCATTTATTTCAGTGTATACGTTTAATTTCTTTCTTTTTTTTTTTTTAAACTTTTTTTTTCCTGGCTAAATCTTCATATTTTCACTTCCAAACATACTGAAATTATGAGTCTGTAACTTAACGTAACATTTAACAAGTTAATATTCCCTCCGTCGAAATGTTAGAATAATGTTTATAATTGTACAGTTGTAGTTGCTTATCCTAAGGGGTTACCAACGTAGATTGATAACCCGACATACCTGGTCCAATTAAGATGCAGACGACTGGGTAGCATACCACACTGCGCTGTATAATGGATATTGTACGTTGTCATTTCCTCAAAGAAAGAATTGTGTTTATAACTGATAAATGTGTTTCGTTTCTACATGTGTACAGACAATCTGTCGATTTTGTGTAACTATACATAAAGAAATAAGATCGTTGCTTAATATAAATAAGATTAATTATGAAGTTTCCTTACTCACATAGCACTGCAGACTATATCTGGCTGGGGTAGTTGTTACGGGTAACTTAATTGTTACTTCATCGGAGGTTGAACGGGGTATCTGGGATCTGCCTGGTTCGTGTGCCATTCAAATTAAAATTTATAATCCTTTTAAGTATACTAAACCTTTGGTTAGCCCTGAGACAAATCCATCGATTTGGAACAGTGAAAAGCCTGTTGGAGCCTTTAGCCTGACGTATAAATTTAACAGACTATCATTTATTCCCCTCGTCCAAATTTTAAAATATTATTTTCGAAAGTAAAGGTAATTTTTATGTTGAGGGTTATCTATTCAGCTTTACAACCCGACTTACTGGGTTCGATAAGGATCGGATCGATTCGGAGTTCGATAATGGCAGGAGAGCTGTACCACTGAGAAAGCAGCTATCAACTACAGAACGTTATATTATCTATCGCCCGTTACGTAGGTTGTGCCCAAATTTATAAATCTGTAACTCATTTTAACTGTTCTATGTCAATTGTTGAAACCTGGCATGCAATCCGTTGATAATCATGTCCTTGTAAGACAATTTGTTTTCATGTAAACAAACATCTAGTTTTCATTTTGTCTTATTTGAGGTGTCTGAAACAATTGAAACTGATTGAAACTAAACAACTAGCATGCTCACACTTAAATGAGTAACGGGGACTTTTCAAAACATTAAATGTCAAGCATTTCATTGGCTTCTCAGTATTATCCTCGAATAATTGTATGCGGGATACATTATTAAAATAATCACCACACCTCACTGCGCACAGATTTTCAGGGGTAAACAAATGATTAAAAAAGTAAAGTAAGTAAAGATCGCTTTTCACACCTTTAGGCGTATCAGGCATATGGGAAGAGCGCCCATATCAGACCGACGGCACTAGGTGAGTAATGTGGTCAGCATTACACCGGCCGTCTTCACTTCCCAAGGACAGTTGTCCTGGTATCCATTTTAAGCCGGGTCGACCTGCGACGCCCCATACCACGACAAAAAAATTCACGCAGCCAGCAGTGGGTTTCAATCGCAATACGTTGGAATTACGAGTCGGACTCGCAACGCTACAGACGCCGCTAAAAAATGTTTAGTCTAACTAAAATCAAAGAAATTCGCAGTTAAAAAAACAGCAGCACCTGTGCAATTGTAAATTATAAAATCATCAGAACACGGGAAATCTAAGGCCACAGGCGCACATTTGTGTTGTTTCGTGTTTGAGTTTTAGAGATATTTGTTCATGTAAGGGCACGGTCGGCTCTGTGGCTGAGTCGATGCGAACGCTTCGAAATGCCGGGATGCCGGGTTCGATCCCAACTGCGGGTCATGCGCCTTGCGTTGGTGTCGACAGTGGTATCAAGAAAGCCGACCGTCCAGGAAGCAATGGCAAACTACATAAGGTAAATTTGCCTAGAAAAACCACACAACAGCTAGGAAAACTGGAGTATATCGTGACGGTAGGAAAGGTGGAGGGGAGGAGAGGCAGAGGGAGAGGGAGACCGAGAGAACAGATGCTGGTCAGTTTGGCATCACGGTATAGAAGAATAGAAGATCATCAGTGTCAGAGTTGATTGGAAGTACACGATACAGAAGATTGTGGCTAGGCATGACTACCACCGCCACACGACATGGACTTTAAGAAAGAAAGAAAGAGAGGGGGGGGGGTGGGAGAGATAGAAAGGAGGGGGGGGGGAAAGAAAAATGATGAACAGAATACTGAATGAAATTAGTGAGGCAAGAAATGCACCATGCTAGAGAGATCCCCCTGCCCCCCCCCCCCCCCCCCGCCCCCATCCTCCCTCACCTGCACAGATCCTTATCCTTTGTAAATAAAATTCTTTCGTTCGATCATTTATCGTTATACTCCATTTGTCATTGCTACTGGACGGTCGGCTTTCTTGACATCATTGTCGAAACCAACGCAAGGCGCATGGCCCGCAGCTGGGATCGAACCCGGCATCCCGGCATTACGAAGCGTTCGCATCGACTTAGCCACAGAGCCGACCTTAATTAAAGGCTACAGAAAAAAACTGCACCGATTTTTGTGTTTGTCTAAGACGGGAAAAGCTGCTAGATTTTACAAATTGATGTTAGGCGAATCGTATGTAATTTATATATTCGATGCTAAATTAATTTCCAGTGATAATATATTAGTGCTGTTGATCTATTATTAATAAACTAGGTATGTTTTTCTCCAAGGGAAGTGATAAGGGGGTAGCACTGAAGTTAAGTGATCTTATGTGAAGATTTAATACTCTGGTCTTGAGGCGTCGCAGGCCATTGTAGCGATAAATAAAAATGGCCCTTGAAAATATCCGCAGGAATTAAGCGATATGACAGAGGAATCGACGCTGAAATTAGAATAATAAACGATGATTGTGAAACCCTCAAACGAAATTTGATCAGTTATGTTATAAAATTGGGCATACATCTCATCCCCGTACTTGTACTGCAGCATAACATTTTCATATCGTTGCATAATTGGGGAATAATTACGCTAGCAGATATGAATGTTAACGAGCTGAATCGTAGAATTGGGTTGTCGTTTAAGGTTCCTGCCGATTAGAGCCACGTCACGAAGTGTAAACAAGAAATAAAAATACAATTTAATGACAAAATGACACAACGCCGTGGGGCAATGTGTTTCTAAATCTGTTTTGGATATTTTCGAGGAAAATTCTGCAGAAATTACTTGGAGATTGACAGACCTCCAGGCCAGGAAATTGGCCTATCGCAAATCGTCGCTTTATCAGCAGAGATATGAATGGTTATATCCAATGTTATATCTATGGTTATACACATAGTTTTGCTGTAGTCTGGGATCGGTAGATTTACTGCAGAATTCAGAAATGATTCTCTTAGTATTATATTATAATTCCGCGGGCAGCCAAAAAGAATGACACAGTTTTAAAAGACGCGAGAGCTCAAAGATGACGTATCATAAACATCAGACTACAGTCATCATTGTTTTGATCACGTTAGGAGAAGAAGAAAACTGGAATATATTGTGACCACAGGGAAGATGTGCGAAGAAAAGAGGAAGAGGAAGAGGAAGACAATTCGTTAATAAGTTATTTCGTTAATATTTCGTTACCCTGGTTTGTCTGGGACATTAAATATAGCCGGGACATAAATATGGCCTAACAGTTAAAAAAGGTTTCTGGGACTACTCCACTCGTGTTCCTCATCCGCATGGTGGCACTTTGTGTCACCATGTGTTTATCGCTTGTGTGATGTCTTGGTGGGGTACAACAAAAGAGAAAATGGGCAGAATTCTGGACAGCCTTTTGTCATTGCTTGAAAGGGTTTTATGCTGATTAAAAACATATAACAGAGAGGCATGATCGCACACGCCAGTCGACACAGCACTTGATAATGATGCTACCTGATAACATAATGGTCCTATAGTATAGCATCTACTGCCTTGCGTTGTGAATTGTTCGGTCTTCATTCATTCTAAGCCAGAACATATGAAGTGGCGTCCTCAGTTCACTACCTCGTCCTGTTTCGTTCCAGATAATTATCAGAATGCAAGCAAACTATCTGGGTAACTTTATATGCGGAATCACTTCACACTAAATCTGTATCAACTCAGCATCGGAAAAGAGGGACGAGGTTTGATCAACTCTCAGGGTGCGGAAAGGAGGGAGGAGGTGTGATCATCTCTCATGGTGGGGAAAGGAGGGAGGAGGTGCGATCAACTCTCGTGGTGAGGAAAGGAGGAAGGAGATGTGATGAACTCCAGATAATTATCAGAATGCAAGCAAACTATCTGGGTAACTTTATATGCGGAATCACTTCACACCGAATATCTATCATCTGTTTTAACTCAGCATCGGAAAGGAGTGACGAGGTGTGATCAACTCTCAGGGTGCGGAAAGGAGGGAGGACGTGTGATCAACTCTCAGGGTGCGGAAAGGAGGAAGGACGTGTGATCAACTCTCAGGGTGCGGAAAGGAGGGAGGACGTGTCATCAACTCTCATGGTGGGAAAGGGAGGAAAAAGGTGTGATCAACTCTCAGGCTGGGGAAGGTACGGAGGACATATAACTAGACTACTACTTGTACCATCGGAATTGGAACTCTGAGCTTGCTACTGAAGATAGGGACAGGGCGTATATATGAATGTCCCGAATGCTATGCTGTCTGCTATGTTTTTAAACTCAAGTCAAGTAACTCAGCTTCTATTATCAGTTGTCCCGTGTGCAACTCTCGTGTCTTGGCATATATTTGGATTTATTCTCAAGCCCCGGGACACATTCTCCAACTTATATGCTGGCTTCAAGACACGTCTCGTTTTAAATTTTGTAGATCGACAAAAGGAATTGATCAATCATGTGTCTCCGCAATCAGTTGGCTGCAACTGATATCATGGTTGTAAACTGTCGAGACTAAGACGCCTATCTC